TTGATAATTATCAAAGCTAGATGATGGGTACATGAAAAGTGTATTATATTATTATTATTTTTTTTCCTTTTTGTCTTTTTTTACTGACCGGTAACGGGATCGCAACCCTCGGTGTCGCGCCCATACCGGGGACCGGCAACGGGATCACAACCCTAGGTGTTGTGCCTGCACCGCGCTCAGCCAGTGAGCGGGAACTGGTCTCCACATGGGATCCGAACCCTCAGCGGGAGCGCCACCGCGCTCACAAGCGGCGCACTCTCCAGTGCGCCACCGGGCCGGCCCCTATTATATTATTTTATTCTTTGTGTATGTTTGAAATTTTTATTTTAAAAAGTGGCTTTTTTAAAAAAATATCCATTTTTATGGCAACCGTTGTGGACTTTCTGGAAGTCATAACAATTTTTTAAAATTGTTTTCTGAAAAGAAAGATTTTAAATTGTTAAATGTGTATCTAAATATGAAGTATTTTTATCCTGAGTAGGACTTTTCTTATAAATTAATAAAACAATCTCTTTTTAAAAAAAAAAAAGATACCATAAAGAGTGAAGAGACAAGTCACAAACTAGGTGAAGATGTTTGTAATACATAGAGCCAAAAAATTCATATCCAGATATTAAGCAAAGAACTTCTAAATTTTAATAGGCAGTTTCTTAGATATATCAAAAGCATAAGCAACAAAAGAAAAAGATAGATAAATTAGACATCATCAAAATTTTAAAATTTTGTGCTTCAAGGGACACTATCAAAGAAGTGAAACAACCCACAGAATGGGAGAAAATATTTACAAATCATGTTTGTGACAAGGAACTTGTACCTAAAATGTATAGAGAACTCTTATTACAATTCAATAATAGAAAAAGGACAACTTGATTTTTAAAATGGGGAAAGAATCTGAACAGACATTTTGCCAAAAAAGATATACCATGCCAATAAACATATGAAAAGATTATCAACATCATTAGCCACTGGGGAAATGCAAATCAAAACCCAGCAGGATACCACTTCATACCCACCAGAATGGTTATAATTGAAAAAAGACAATAGCAAGTGCTGACAAGAACCTGAACAGATTGGAATCTTCATAGACTGCTGGTTTGGATGTAAGATGGTACAACTGTTTTTGCAAACAGTTTGGCAGTTCCTCTAACAGTTAAACATAGAGTTACCATATGACCCAGCTAATTAATTCCACTCCTAGATCTATACCCAAGAGAAATGAACACACATGTTCAAACAAAAACTTGTACATGAATGTTTGTAGTAGCATTGTTAATAATAGCTAAGAGGTAGAACCAACCCAAGTGATCATCAACTGATGAATGGATAAATAAAATATGGTACATATACACAATGGAATATTATTCTGCCATAGAAGGAGTACTGATGCATTTGACTGATGCATGGGCCCTTAAAAACATTATGCTAAGTGAAAGAAGCCAGTCACAAAGGACCACATGTTGTATGATTCCACTTATATGAAATGTCCAGAATAGGCAAATCTATAAAGACATAAAGTAGATTTAGTGGTTGCCTATGGCTGGGGCATAAGAGGTGTAGGGGGTGATGGCTAAGAGGTATGGGGTTTCTTTTTGGGTTAATGAAAATGTTATAAAGTTGATTGTGGTGAGGGGTGCACAACTCTGAGTATACTAAAAGCTGTTGAATTGTACACATTAAATGAGTGAATCGTATGATATGTGAATTGTATTTCTTTTTTTTTTTCCTTTTTGTCTTTTTTCGTGACCGGTAACGGGATCGCAACCCTCAGTGTCGCGCCTGTACCGCGACTGGCAACGGACGGGATCGCAACCCTCGGTGTTGCGCCCGCACCGCACTCAACCAGTGAGCGGACTGGTCTCTATATGGGATCCGAACCCTCGGCGGGAGCGCTGCCGCGCTCCCAAGCGCCGCACTCTACCGAGTGCACCACCGGGCCGGCCCAGTGAATTGTATTTCAATAAAGCTGTGTAGGGGCCAAGGGAATACATCCCCTTCAGCCCCCATAAGGCTCTCTGAAAAATCACAGGATGAACACAGATTAATATGAAGAAAAGGCATACCAAATTTTATGTCATAGTTTAACGTGACACAGGAGCCTCCAGAATAAAGACCCAAAGATACAGGGAAAATTGTCTGTATTTATGCTTAGATTCTGTGAAGCAGGCACAGCCATGTAGAAATATGATTGGACAAGAAAAGTATGCTCTAATGCTAATAGACTAAGTGGGGAAACCCAGTAAGGCCTGTCTGTCCAGATTCTTCTTGGCCTCTCTGTGTAGCATTCATTCTTCCAGGGTGTGGGGCAGGACTCTTTCTGGGATCTGGATCTTATGACCTACAAGCAGACAAGGTAGGTCAGAGAATATCTTTATGGCCCGCTCCAAGACAGAAAAGCAGTGGGGTAGGATTAGTATATCTATGACCCACCCTGGGGAAGAGGGATTCTAGTTTCTATGGCTTGCCTCGGGAAAATGAGGCTGAGAGACAGGCGGGCAGGAGAAGGTCAGAAGAAAACTTTGCTTTTGAGGCTGCTTCTGAGGCCTTCACTTTGGGTTATCACTTTCTGGACTCCCACATCTGTTTTTTAAAAAATCAGTGAACAACTCAATAGGAAAATAAGCAAAAGGCAAGTCCAGGCATTTTACAGAAGAAGAAACGTGCATACAAAATAGATACTTGAAAAAATACTCAACCTCATTCCTAATCAAGGAAAGGCTAAAACTGTAGTGGAATACCATTGTATACTCACTTGAATCACTGGAATGTTAAGCTTGGGTACTACTGGTTCTCTGCATGTAGAGGATATGGAGAGGAGGGGGAAGCTCATCTGCTGCCAGAGGGAGGTGAACTGGTTCAACCACTTCGGAAAATAAGATGGCATTATTTAGAGAGTTGAAAATGCAAGTATTTATGACACAGCAATTTCCCTCCTAAGTGTATACCCAAAGAAATCATTCAGTTGTGCACTGAGATCATGTATGAGAATAGTTGGCTGGCCAATTGGCTCAGTTGGTTAGAGCACTGCCTTGTAGCACCAACAGCAAGGGTTCAGATCCCTGTGCCAGCTGCAAAACAAAAACAAAAAAATCAAAAGGGATAGCCACAGGAGCAGTATAAGATTCAAAACCATGTAAAACTAAACAATATATTATTTAGGGATATAAGTATATGTAGTAAATACACCTGTTTTTAAAAAGCAAACAAGGGAAGGAGAAACACAATCCAGGATACTGCAAAATGGAAAGAATTAGGAGGGTCTAACAGACGCAGGGTAATGTTAAGTTCCTTTTCTTAAACTGGATGGTGGGTATAGAGATGTGTCTTGTGGGGGTGGGGTAGAAGGCAAAGTATTATGTGACAGCCTGAGATTGGGGGAAGATTTAGAAAAACTCAAAAGCATACGTGGAACAGTTTTTCCATGCAGTTCGAAAATGCTAATAATGCTAACCCTGAGTTTCTAGAAAAGACGAACATATTTAGCATCTTCCATTTGAGAAGCAAAAAGGATAAAATGTCTTTATCCAAGAAAAAGAAAAAAGAGACTAAGAGAACTACACAGAAAAGAAACAGCAGCAGAATGGGAGCGTTTTTGAAAGGTTTCCAACAAAAGTGGTTAAAATGAAGAGTTTTGTACTTCAAGGTGAGCTTTATTTATTTGGGCCACCATTTCTTTATTCTTCAGGGATGTTAAATAAGCCAAACATTATGTGAATAAGTAAAACCCCAAGCTCTCATTTCAGTCACTTAGTGGTTGACTTTCTCTTTTTCAGATCCTGCTCACACTAAAAGATGAATCACAAACACACGGAGGGAGAACCTATCCACTACTCCCAGGTGTGTGGCTGAGGGTGAAGCATCCACCAGCACTGCAGGGGTCCATAGTATATTTTTGCTGCATCAGAGTCCCCAAAGCCTCCAAGCAGAAGTGGCAGTAGATGGTCACCTATCAGCCAATCCAGACTTGTACTGGGACAACAAGAAAATAGCTCCTCCAGGTTCTAATAGAACTTGGCAGTGGGGACATTCAACTGACGCATTATATACCCTTTCAGAGCACACGTGTATCTTTTACCTTCCCTTTTCCCCCACCCCAACCTGCTTAGGTCTTCTCTGTCCCTTTCCTGCTACCGCACAGAGATAATATAAAAGAGGCTCTTTGGCTATTTGCATTTTGCTTCCTCTTCTTTTCCAGATTGCGGTATTAAGCTTTACTTTCTTTGTACAGGCTTAAAATCCCAACATCATTATCTACCAAAGTTGTTCTTCCCTTTCTGAGGGGTCTTGGGGGAAGGCGGGCTTATATCACAAGTTTCCTAGAGAGTGGAGACAAGCCGGGTGTGCTGCTAACAACATGAGCCAGGGTGAAGGTGCCCTTTGGAATTACTCAGTTCTGAGATTAATAAAGTAATTCTATTTTTATATTCTTTTTTCCCTTTTACTAATTTCCCAACAGTCAGTATTCACAAACAACACAGAAATAGAACCAACTTTTATTGCTAGGCAAGTTCTTAAGATTCCTTTTAGAAATGTGAGCTATAAAGAGATGTTTTATTTTACATTTTGTTTCAGCAGATCGTGGAACCAGCCTTTCCCCAAGGGCAGCTCCCACACCTGGGAAGCTGGCATGTGCAAATGTCTTCTTTATCAGCCCACAGCAGGCCGGCTTGCCCACAGTGTGGTCCCCCAGGGGCCTGTGAATCTGTATACAGTTGCGCATTGCTTACCCAAACAGTTCATCCAAATGATGTGGCACAGCCCCCAATTGCTCTCCACTTGACCCTGTGCTCTCTTGCTTCCTCACCTATCCCAGGTCCTATCTCTGGCTTTTACTGGAGAAAAGATTGAAAGCCAGCCCACAGAGCCCACTGAAGAACTGACTTAGCTGCCCTAGGGAGTTATTGGGGGAGAATCCAGAGTTGGGGGTTTCTTCATCAATGTCCTATAGATTAAGCATTGAAATCCCAAAAGAAAAATGACACCCAAAAAGGCAGAAAAGGGACTTTATTGCCTTCTTAGTTAATGAAAACAAAGGTTGGGCACATTGAAGCTTTTTTTTTTTTTGCTTGCTAAGGATGAGGTCTGTTGGTTGCAGGAGAGAAGAGAGAATGTATTACAGGTGTTCCTGAAACTTCTGGATAGTAGTTTGAGGATCACCTTAACTGTCTGCTCACTTGGTTGTGAGTTGGTTCGGAGACAAATTAGATTCCTGCATAGTCCCCTGCTGATGTGTAGAATTGGAAAATAAGGAGTTTGGGGGGCACTCAACGTATGAGTCTTGTGAAAAGAGATAAAAGGGTATGAACCCAGTAAAAGTACTTTTAGGCCAACTACAGTGCTTGGAATTATTGTAGGTAACCAATCAGAAATTAAATCCTCAAGTTGGTTTCTTACTACGTTCACCGTGTGCTGATCAGGTGCTAAGACCAGACTCCCGATATCTCCCTTCACGTACCCAAGTGCTTTCAAGTCATTCTTACTGGTACTGGACTTCTCTTGGTAATAAACCAGATAACAGATAACAGAATTAGCCTCATATTCTTAGGCCATTTACCACAGTTTCTCCAACTCTCAACTGATATGGGGGATGAGATGAGATTTTCAAAAATGAAGATGTTGGTAATTTATAATGTACAAACCACATTTCCATATGCAGGGGTTCACACCAAGTGGTTATGCCCACAGTTATCTGGAGGTCAAATTCGTATGCTTTCTTCAAATCTGAGCCACTGCCTCTGTGTGTCTGAGAATAATAAACTCTGCAAGAAGGAAGGAAGCACAAACAATAGCGCAGTCTTCTCACATGGCTGAAGGCAGCGCAGTGGGCCCACTGTGAAGGGTATAGCAGGTATAGCAGGCTAAACAATGTATTTGATGTTCGAGAGATTTTCTGCCCTAGATTCCAGTTACCTTTGATTAGTATATGCAGACATGCAATTAAGAAAAAGGGTAATTAAGGATATTCATCGAGTCAGACATACACCTTAGAATAAGGCTTTTACTGTTCTAGAAACAATCTTCCAGAAGATGAAATCATCCAAGATTCCCCAAAAATATTTATTTATACAAAGATTTTGAGAGTAATATTTGTATTTGTCTTTATACCTCAGTCTATGCGTCTGGGGCCAAGTCACTGTGTGGCACATGTGCAGCTTCCCCGAATGCCTCACATGTTGTAGCACCTGCTTCCAGGAACACCAAATGAACACAGGGTCTTGGGAGGGAAGGGGGAAAAACTCATAATGCCCCAAGGCTGCATGGACCCAAAATCCAGATATGTGCACCCTGACCTGGAAAGTATCTAGCCAAATGTCCAAGGGGAAATATGACCAAGGAAGAAGGCGAGAGGAGGGACGCAGAGGGCAGAAAGGAAAGGGTTAATTTCCACTCTAGCTTCTAAGTTCAGCATATCCATAGGGTCCAATATAGATGATGGCCTGGGAAGTACATTATCTGGATTTTCTCCCTGTAACGACCCATGGTGCTGATTGGAAAAATAACAGATTTGTCCTTAATCCCAAGTAGTACAGATACAATTCTGGGACTTTGTCTTGGAAACCTGTCTGAATAAAAATGCTTGCCTTGTGTAAAGTAATCCAGATTCCCTAGAGCACATGTGAAACAGAAATGAGCAAATCTGACCTCAAATCCAAAGTGTCTTCCAGGCTGGCCCTGACCCGGCCATTCTCTGCCCTTCCTCCTCCCTACAGTAGCCCAAATCCCATGGCCACATGCCATATCGACTTGCCTTCCCTCTTCCTCTATCCCCACCACCTCTGTCTACATCACAGAAAATCTGTGTCTTCTGAAGATTTCGGCCTTCCCCTAACCAAACCCACACTTTCTTTACCACAGTGATTCTCAGAGCCAGCAAGAAAGAGAAATGTTCCAAAAGGAAACCTCCATCTCAGCCATTGCCTGGAGCCAAAGGTTGTGGGCTTCAGGCCTCTAGGTGAGGTCTGTTGCTTTTGTGTTTCCCCAAGGGGTGGGCAGTCAGGCAGTGGCAGTTCTCTCTTCTCTCTGTGTGTCGCAGGCAGGGTCTCAGCTACACTTACAAGACTTCACCACCATGTTGGAGAGCTGTTCCACCTTGGGGGTCCTCCCGACATAGTACAAGATGGTCAGGGGTTCCAAGTCCTGGGGCACACAGCAAGGTGAGGCAGATGCTTCAGGATTCAGGGTGTTGTACAGTCCCAGCACCTGGGGAGAGACACATCATTTAGAGGTCAGAAGGCCTGGAGCCCAGGAGCTCTACAAGTTCTACAAATTCTTGCTCCAGAGACCAAGCAAGTGGTCGAATGACCATTGATGCTATTGAAGAGGAATTGCTGGGACATAGTTTGGGTGAGTAACTAGCTGTCATTCACCCACAATGGCAGAATGGAGAACATGTGCACTTGTTTGAGGGTTATCAGTTTAAGCATATAACAATTATTGGGGGACTTTAAATTGATAATGAAATTCTCTTTGCTCTTAAGAAAACACTCCTGTATGGGTCTTCCTGGCTAGTAACTGATCACTTCGGTGAAAAATGTTCTCACAACATTGCCTTGGGCCTTTAGTAAGTGCCAAAGTGTAGGGCCCCAGACTGGAGGCAGTAATAATGAGCTATAAGGAAACACGTTTTGCAAACTACTGCTCTAATTTTGATTCCTCTTGAGGGAAAGACAAGCTAGTTTCAGAGGTTGTGGACTCCTCTCTCTCTCTTCCTAGTGTCTCATTTTAGCTGCTTCTGTATTCTTTACATTGCGTTTCAGAATAACCTTTCTACATTCAAGAGGCTGAAATTATCAGAGTTCCTCAACTAATGGTAGAAGCCTTTCGACCCCAACATTCCTTGCTAACCATGTGCACACATCTCTCACATATAGGGCAGCATGTGACAGCTACTCAATTTCTATGGTACAAAAGTTTTAGGCAAAGCAAATAAGAAATCTTGTTGAAACTATGAAAGGAATTTTAAAGGGCAGAATGTGACTGAGTTGGACCAGGGGACCAGGGTCAGAACCTTTATTAGAAGGATTTTATTCATCCGAGATCATCACTCACTCATTCAACACTCAATCCTTCATTCATTCATTATAACAAGCGGCCCGGTTGGCTTAGCCCCAGTGCACCAGGTGGCATGAGCCCTGCTCCATACCGTGCTGTGGGTTGTGTCTGCACTGCGGAGGTATGGGCAAGGGCCTGAGCAGAAGTTGGCATAGTAGCCCTTGGGTTCATGAACCCACTTCCAGCCCAGATCCTGTCGGAAGTCAATGTAGAGGGGGCGCACACAGCAGTTCTCCTCCAAGTTGCTACAACAAAAAACATTTATAGAAAATCAAATCACCAATAAAAGAAAGTTCACACATGCCCTTAAATTTTCCCTTGGAGTCCTTCCATGCCATCGCAGGAGGTGGATCGAATCAATGGAATCCCAGGTTCAAGGGCATAGAGCTGAAGAAACCAGAAAGGCATTTTCCTGTGTTGAAGACCAGGATCTAAAGGATATAATAGGTAGATAGAAATGCTGCATGACGAAGAGTAAAGAGGCAAAGGTGGCCCTGCTCCCCCCTTTACATCACAAATCAAAACAGACATGAAGTGCTCCACATAAAACCAAGCACTAAATGTTATTAGTCAACTCAGCTTTGCTGGGGGTGTCTTTGTTGTTACCTTCCTAACATGCACCCAACCAGAGAGAAACTCCAAGTTTATGCAGCTTGTACTCAAATAATATAGCAGATTCCTGCTCAGACTAAATCTAGACACCATTTAACCAAAACAAAGCATATCCTTCTATTAGAACCATGATTCCCAGATCACCCAAATGTGATTATCAGGCCCTTCAATTCTGCTGTCTGCAGAAATCCATTTGGCAACACTCCCTGCCAAGTGAGCATCTAGCCTCTGCTTCAGTATCTGCTGAGACATAGAACTTGCTACTTCTAACAGCAGCTATTACCAAAATCTGGCTTCTTGTGGGTCCCAGGGTAAGCCATGGCAGACACTGCTGGTTTTCTATTCAATAACCATTCCCAATCCCCTTCTCCCTTGCACCTCCCATTACAGAGTCTGGAACACCAGATATTTGTTTTCCTGGCCTCCCTTGCAGGAAGGGGTGGTTCTGTGACCCAGTAGTGACTAATTAGAAATAAGAAGTATGCAGGCTTTGAGGGCAAGTTCTGGCAAAGATGTTTGATTATTTATAAGAGTAACAAATGGAAAAGGGAAGCTGCTGGCTCTTCCCCTTCCCCCCTTCTTCTTGTCTTAAATATGGACAAGCTGCCTGGAGCTCTAGCAATCACTTGTGATCATAAGCAAGAGAATGTAAAGCAAACATACTAAACATAGAAAACTGGACAGAAAGCCTATGTCGTCAGTGGCATAATTAAGCAGCCAGACCAACCCTGAGCCTGCTGCTACAGACCTCTTGTGAACAAGAAATCCCATGGGGAAAGTCATTGTTGCTTGTAGCCAAGAGCATCCATTCCTAACTGATAAAGAGACACATAGAAGAAATCTACGTGGCAGCCTCCAGACAGTTGGCAGCAACTGCATGCCTCTCCTATACCTTCTGTTCCCCACGCTCATCCTCCCTAGTTTATTCAGTTGTTCCTCATAGACATGGTTTCCAGATTGAAAGATTTCTCAGTTCATTCACCCAGCTCCGTTCAGGCATCCCCTCCAGCCAAACCAACCTGCTCATGCTCCTTCCTTTACCTGAAGTGTTTCTCCTCCCGGATCCCTATATACCTAAACCTCACTCGTCCTCGAAGACTCTGCTCAAATTCCACACCCTTCTGAGGTCTTTCCTGTGTCCATGAATGAACTCCTTGCTCATAATTGTTAAAGCACTTTACCCTTCAGACTCTATCATGGATGTGATCATTTACCTTTTAGTACAGATGCTCCTTGACTTACAATGGGGTTACGTCCCAGTAAACCCATCGTAAGTTGAAAATATCCTAAGTCTAAAATGCATTTAATATACCTAACCTACAGAACATCATAGCTTAGCCCAGCCTACATTAAACATGCTCAGAACACTTACACTGGCCTATAATTGGGCAAAAGCATCTAACACAGAGCCTATTTTATAATAAAGTGTTGAATATCTCATGTAGTTTATTGAATACTGTACTGAAAGTGAAAAACAGAATGGTGGTATGGGTACTCGAAGTACAGAATGCACATTGCTCTCACACCATTGTAAAGTTGAAAAATCCTAAATGGAACCATCATAAGTTGGGGACTGTCTGTAATTGGTATGCCTGCTTTATCATCCCCTCCCTTATGAATGAGTGGTTAAACTGCTCCTAAATAAGGGAAGAAGCTACGTCTTTTCTATCCTGTATAGAGGCTACCCAATTTCTGAATTAGTTTATTACTTTCTCTAGCTCAGATTTCCTCTGCGAATAGAGACAACCCTATATTCCCCCTCCAGTAGCACCCTTGAACACTTCATAGGGAGCACTTCTTTAATGGAAATTCCTACATTAATCTCCACCACCATCCCAAACACACCCTACGAGTACTTAAAACATGAAAACCATGGAGAGGCTTAAGGCAAGTATCTCTAATCCAAATGATTCTAGCAACACTATTCTCATAGAGTTTTCTTCACTTCATCTAAGAACTTACAGAGTTGGGCTGCAGAAAAACAGGAAGAGATTTGTAAGAGATTTTCAATCTTCTTTCCTGGAGATGTTTCTGAATAGTACCAGGGACCCTCAGTTGAGGGAGGCTTAGGTCTGGGGCCTAACCCTCAGTAGGCACACAGCAGGGCTTGGTTCCCATGTGGGCCCAGGCTCACCGGAAGCAGTAATTGGTATCCAGGGCCCGCTTCTTTCTCTGCACCCCCTGGCCTGGGTTATCAAGCCGGTGCGGGGGAATCATCATGAGGATTAGATGAGGGTTGTGGTGATCCTTCTGTTTCTTGAGGCGCCCCAGATCTCCACGGCCGTGATCATCCTCATTGTCCACACCTGCAGAGGGAAGGAAGGTGACACTCTCCTGTCTAAGAAAGCAAAGCCCTTGGAGGCGTCCTCATCCCATCCCATCACTGCCCAGGAGGAGGGGCAGTGCCATCTGCGAGGAAGGTGTGGGGGCCAAAGGCAGCTTCATTCTAATGTCCAGCTGCAAGAAGGGGAAGGCCAGGTGGAGGCAGCAGTATCAAAGGACTCAGTTATCACTGGAAGAACGCCACTGCAAGATGCCCCCATTCAGATGCCTGCGTGACTCCTGTACAGAAATCCTCCGCAGGCCAGAAAGCCCTTCCTGAAGTGCTTCCTAGCAATCGTCATGGCCCCACAAAGCATCCTATCACTAGGCGGGTACCTGACACATACCTTTGGGTTGTCAGTTTAGATTCCGAGACTTAGAATCTTGGGGTGTAAGTTTCCTCTCATACTCCGAATTGGTCAAGACAGTCTACAATCCCTACTGATAACTTAAGGTGTCACAAAGCACCTGAATTAAAACAGCCTGAATGAGAGCCAAAGAAAAAAGACTTTGGATTATTGTTAACATTCACGTTGCACTTCTAGTTTTTGAAGTGTTTTCATTGCATAATTCAGATGAGATGATAAAGCATAACAACTTAGCAAACAAGCTCTGGAAAGAAAATCTAAATTCATCTGAAAAGGAAAACACCGAATACTGACTTAGAAAGAGTCTCAACTAGGGGCCGGCCCGGTGGCGCAATGGATAGTGCGCCGCTTGGGAAGCGCGGCGGCGCTCCCGTCCGAGGGTTCGGATCCCACATACAGACCGGCTCCCGCTCACTGGCTGAGCGAGGCGCGGGAGCAACGCTGAGGCTTGCGATCCCGTTGCCGGTCCCCGGTCCGGTACGGGGGCAACACTGAGGGTTGCGGGGGCAACACTGAGGGTTGCGATCCGTTGCCGGACACGGAAAAAAGACAAAAAAAAAAAAAAAAGAAAGAGTCTCAACTAAATGGAGATTTGTTTTGTAAGGGACAGCTGCCAGCTGTTGTCGGTCTTCACTGGGGACAGAAACATGAGGAGCCTAATTTACATAGTTACAGGAGGGACTTGGATCTTGGGATGGGGCACTAGTTCCCTAAGATAAATGGGCGACCTGGATCTCAAAGTCTCTTTGCTGAAAATCTTTATGAATGAGATGTTTTCACTGAAGTGGCGAGTCTTTGTCCTAACCTGGCCTGCAGGTAAGGACCCTGAAGGTCTTCTGAGCCCTAAGGTTCTGTGACTAGTATGTTAAATCTTTGGCTTTAAAAAAAAAGGCTCTGACATACAGCCCATGCAGGTTAAGAGGACAGCCTAGGGCCGGGAGCCAAGAGAGGCCTGCACCTTTTCACAGACAAGCCTATGACCTCAGGCGTTCCTCAGTTACCCAAACAGGAGTATAAAAGGAAAAGAGAACTTTCCTGAACTCCAGAGATTGCCAAGGCTGAGTTCCTTGGAAACATATTGGAAAACCAGAAATGACTCTCAACTACTTTATCATCTCTACACAAACACCCATGGACAAACACCCTGAGCCTGAAGCCATTATCCAAACCCAGATGACTCCTGGGCACGGATCAGGGGGGCAACATCTGGAAGGTTCAGTACATAGTCAGGGCACTCATATTCGGGGCCACCAAAGTTCGTCTCTCTCAGTGAAGGGGAACACAACTGTTACTTGCTGAGCATTCCTGGCACTGTATTTTATGTTTGTTACCTCAGTTAATTGCCTGACAACCCTGTGAAAGAAGTACTCTCATCCCCATTCTGCTGGGCTTAGAGAGACTGAACAGCTGGCCTACATGATTTCACTGCTGTTACCAGCATTATATTGTCTTCCAGATGCTAATGTACTCTCTACATCTGAAAGCTGAAAGTCATGCTCATTGCTTTCAGGGTGAAGCAGGATTACTCAAGTACAAAATAGTTAGCTTTCTCTGTGAAGGACCTTGGTTCCTTTTCTTGGGGTCTGGTAGGGAACTCCTGTTCTATCCTGCCCCACTAACTCCCCCAACCCATCCTACCATACACATCCATTTTGTTACCTTTGAATTTGATTTCCATCACCTCATGAATGTTTTCCAGTATATCTCCATTAGGCTGAAAGGTGTGACATGGACAGTGAATGCTGATTTCCAGACCTAAGTTGGACTCTACAAAATAAACCACAGAGTTGGTAAGAAAAGCACTTTATGCAATGGGGAAGTATGCCCACCACCCATGCAAGAGTGGCCCAGGGCCTCTGCTCCCATAGGCACTCCAGGATCTGAGTTATATTGAGTGTCACAGGAGACAGAAGTGCTTCCAAAGCTGAGTGGACCATCATGCACATGTTGCTACCTTCTTACATTATGAATGACCAAATGGCAGCATAAACTCCTGGGCATCATGATGGAGAATCTTAATAGTCATCCATTTTCAGAGGATACTATCTAGAGAAAATTGTTGTGTACCTACTTGGGGCAAAAGGACACAAGGAAAAAACTCACACCACCTAAGTGTTTGTTGGGGGAGGAGATGCTTGAGCCAACCTGCTGAAAAAAGATGAAGGGAAGAGGCAGAGGGACTAGAAGAAACCAGAGAAAGGGAGTAACTGAGAACTTTGGAGCAGAGAGACAGTGATTCGAAAGGTCACAAGTTCAAATGGCTACAAGACGGACAGCTCAGCAATAGAGTTAAAAGTCAGGAATCAATGCTAGAGGTAAAGTCACCTGCAAACAAGAAGCAGAATCGGTCTATGTAGAAGATGTCAACATTTCAGCCAGGGCTATGATTGTGGATAAAGTGGTAGATTCCAGAGAAGATAAGATGAAAATTAAGGTTACATTTGGCAATATTTTCCCTACAGAACAAGGACATAAACAGGTAAAAGTTATTTAGAGGTTTCTTCTTTGAGAATCCTCATTCACCATGATGGGGAAGTTGGGAATGTGGATGGCTCACCAAGACGAACAGCTTGGGAAGATAGTTGTGCAATTAGGGAACAGACCAGAGGAGATGACAGAGGGCCACAGTAGAGAGTCCAGATGCCATGAGCTTGGAGAGAATGAGCACGATGAAGTTGGAGGTACCAGGGTGTGGTGACTGACATGCCGGTGCAAGAAGGACAGCTCTGGCCCTTTGTTCTTTTAGTTGTGGGATCACGTGTTTTGGCAACTAACCAAAATCAAGGAAGCAGAAAAACTGGTAAATGGAGTAGAGTGGAGTGGAATCAAAAAAAGGAAAAAGTAGTTTTGCACAGAGAAGACCAGGTAGGATCTTGTATCATGTCAATTTTGGTGGGTATGACTCAATTAGGGAAGCTCTGTTGATGCTGGGGCAACAGCCAACTGTGGCCAGGAGTAGAGAGGTCATGGGGGATGAATTCCTCTGGGTTCAGGGTCAACATCTCAAGGAGCCTGATTTACTGCTCCCTGAGGCCCCCCAGTTGTGTGTGAGTATCTGACCTTGGGGCTAACCTGGGGTCCACCTGAAATCCGGTGTCATCAGGGAAACCCCCAGAGTCCGGCCTGGCTCAGCATCCTTTTCATGGGCAGAATGGTACAAGGCCAGGGATTCCAGTCACCATTAGGTGGGTCTGGATGTCCCAATCCTACTGGTTAAACATGGGCTCCCTTCTTCCATAAACTCCAGAGCCCAACCAGATTTGTTCTGCTCCAAATCAAGGCTACCTCAGGGACACACTGACACCCGCTGAGCCTGAAGATCTCTGTTTCTGAAGGTTAGCTTAGTGGGGTAGGCAAACCAATATAACACAGCAACTGAGCCCCAGCTGGAAAAGTGAATAGAGACGGAGGCATGAGGAGTGTCCTCTTCGTGGTGTAAGGCAGCTGAAAGAAGGGGCTGGAGTAGCTGAAATGGGCTACCTAACAACACAACGTACTTCCTGTTCAAGGTGGTTCAGGTTGGGCTGGGAGAGACCTGGAGTGGGCAAGTTCTGTGATTCTGTGAGTTAGAAAGTCAAGGTGGAGACAGATGTGTTGGGGAGAGTGCAGGTTAGGGTACAAATGGTAAGCATGAGACAGTGGCCTGGCTTGGTCAACAGAGGACTCAGAGATGATGACAACAATCATCAACATCTGTTGAGCATTACTATACATCAAACACTGCTCTGAGACTTTATAAGCATTAACTCATTTGATTTATATAATAAGACTACAAAGTAAGCATTATTATTATTCCCCATTATACAGATGAGGACACTGAGGCTTAGAAAAATTAAATGGCTTGCCCAAGGTATCCAACCAATAGGTGGTAGTGCCAGGATCCAAACACAGACAGCCTGATGCCAGATCCCACACTCTTAATTGTTAGAGACAAGGACAAAGAGGAGACAACAGAGACCACCAAGGAAGATGCCCTCACATTCCTTGAGGTGCAAAATGGTTGTGTTTTCCTAGTGTCCTACCTGTCCTGAGCCATGTTGCTGGGAGTGCTTCCTGCCCAGCCTTCCAGGGGAGGCCTGACTCTGCATGCAGAGTAGCAGCAAACTGTATGAGCAACACCACAGGGGTATAAGGACCTAGGTCCCTGACCCTGGATAGGGCTCCGGCCAGCTTTGGGACCCAGAACAAAGCCTGCATACCTGGAGCATGTAGGCTCTCAGATTTTTGATAAATGAGTTCAAGACCACATGTGTGACTCAGTTTCCTCACCTATCTACACCACCAATGGCTCCAATTTGGAGCCCATTTGCTGCCTGGTTTGGGGCCATGAACTCTGAAGAGACTCATGAGCTGTGTATAAGTGAAAGCCTGTGTTATGATTCCCCTGTGGGAGGGGTGGGCAGTATCTGGCTAAGTGGGAACTGAAGGTTCCAATGAAGAACTAACCTCAGAACTGGCAGCAGTGGGGATGGTGGGTGGGGGACCCATAGGTTTTATTTTGAAATTATCTTTTTGATGTCTCAAGGAGGATGGAAATCATTCTCAATGCAAACTTCTCATTGAGTTCTGCAGCTGTGAAAATAAGAACTCCTTCAAGTGCCCTGGGCTTCAAAGAAATCCAGGTGGAGCTGATCAAAATCAGACAGGGAAGCTAAGAGATTAATTTCCCCAGCCTCTCCTTTCTGCAGCCATGTCGGGCTCTAGGCGGAGTGCCGTCTGAGTCAGAATTCCCAACAGTGCTGCTGTCAGCAGATCCACGTGGGTTCTCCTAGGCTTTTGCCTTCATGTTCAGTAGCAGGGACAGGATGGAATTCTGGGTACCCTTGGAGCTGGGACAGGATCTCCAGCACACCATCTGCCAAGTCAGCTACCAAATAATGCCCCTGAGATGGGGGCTTGCAAATCTCACAGGCAGGTCACGTGAGTGAGTGAGTCGAGCCAGCAGATGATGCTAAATAGGAACTGCCAGCCTCACTTTTGGGGAGCAAGGAGGAAGGGTGGGACTGTGGGACTGAAGAATGCATACCCCATCTCAGGGGTGGCCACTGCTCATCACTGGTGAATCATTACCAAGTAATCTTCTAATTTTTTAAGAAAAGCCAGAAGTCCAGGTTTTATGTGAAAACTCCTGACTTTGACCACTAGTTAAATTTAAAACAATATTCAGGCCAAGCAGTTTGTGATCTCTGCCTTAGGGCTTTAACCCTTGGTTTCCTAAAACACCAAGGACATGGAAGGATCCACTTTCTTGTGGCTTTGCAGAAGCTAATGATGGTAGAAACCTCTCATAAGGAGGAGAGAAGGAGTAGATGGGACTACCATATGTAACCCCAGCCCACTGAGCTGTCAGACCAGGCGGCACCAGCCAAGTAAAGGGAGAAACACATGAGCATGGTGTCATGAGACTCAAGTTCCAGTCCAGACTGGATGACCATGGTCAACTTACCTCACTTCTCTGGGCCTCAGTTTCCTTATCTGATGTAATAAAAGCTTACTCTTATAAACCATGCTGAAAGTCATGAAGTTCTCTCAAACACATCTGACCCTTAAAAGAGTTCTGTGGGGCATGCAGGGGAGGAACTATTACCTTATTTTCCAGGTGAGGAAACAGAGTGGGTAAGATATTTGGGACATGTGAAGTTTGATATGTCTATTGGGTAGCTCTACCCGGATGACTACCAGGTCTTTCTAACTTAATTGGCCAAAACAGAACCTGCCCCCAAACATATTTTTCTCCCAGTCTTCCTTATTTCGGTAAGTGATACCACGTGGATGCTCAGTTCAAAAATGTAGAAGTCATCCAAGACTCCCCTTGTGTCCTCATCAGCCTGTTCTACTGACACTACCTCCAAAACATAAAAGAAATCCCAAAAATCTCCATATCCACTGCTACTGCCCTGGCCTAAGCCCCTGTTCCTCTCATCTGGGCTGCTGCAATGGCCCCTAACTGGTTTTCCTGCTTCTTCCCTGGACCTCACTGCAAGCAGACAGGTCTTTTAAAGATGTAAACCAACTTGCCTCACCCATATCCCCAGCTCTACCCATAGCACTCCCACAGCTTCTCATCACACTTGGAATAAGTCCTAAAACCTTACCATGGCCTGACATGTCCTAAACCATATGGGGACCCACCCCCACCAGCTCACTACACTCCAGCCATACCATTCTGTCTGCGTGGCTGAAAAACCAAGCTCATTTCCACCTGAGGGCCTGGGTCTCGCTGTTTCCACCCTTCATCTTGACCTTCATGGGCTGGCTCCTGCTGATTGATAACTCAGATCTCAGTGCAGAATTCCTTCCTCAGAGAGACCTTCCTTGAGCATCTAATGTGGACCCTGCCCAGTCATTATCACATTGCCCTCCTCCTGTTTTTCATAGTACTTATCACCATCTGACATTCTTACGTGTGGATATGTTTACTTGTTCATCACGTGTTTCTTCCCCAGAAGAAAAGCCCCATGAGATTTGAGACCTCATCTGTCTTGCTCACTGCCGAATCCCCACCGCCAGGCTCACAGTGAGCATTTAATAAACATTAGTTGAGTGAATAAACGAGGCACACACAGAGAATCAGTGGCAAAGCCAGGCTTTGAACCTATATCTGTGACTCCTCTAATTCTGTCCTCTTCCCTCTGTTTCATCAAGGACCAAGGGACCTGAGGTTCCTCCCGAAATGCTTATCTTAAGAATCAACCTACCTCTTCTCAACAGCCACTCACGCACAGTGTCGGTGACATCAAAAGACAGCCACTCTGCAGTGCCCCGTGTGGGCAGATTCTTGCCACTGATATAGCGCTGTTTGGCGATATGCTCATCTGGCCGAAGTATCTACAGTGCGGAAAAAGGAGTAAATACCGAGGCTAGGACGGAGAGCCACAGAGTATGTCCCAATGCAGGGGGACGGGCGAGGGGAGCAATAGGGAAGCAATGGTTTCTAAATGCCATGTTCTTCGAGTACCTTAGGTAACTCTTAATCTTAACGAACAACATAGATATGGAAGTAAGGCTCAGAGAGGCCAGGAGTCAAATCAAGGTCTGCCCAGTGGAGGCCTGATATGGCCAATGAACTGGCTTTCCCTTCTGTGTGGTTTGTGTCCTGGGAGGGATTTACCTGGAAGAGCTCAATCCTCTGCTCACTGCGCTTGGAGCTGGGGTTGGGCACCCGCAAGACCCGGAATTCTGCTCGGAACAGGTTGGTTCTATTTTTCTCCACTGAGGACACGTTGAAGCGGAAAACCTTGGAGGTAATTCCTTTGGGGCAGACGGCCAGATCGTCTAGGAGATAAAGCAGTAAGGAGAGGCACAGCACAAGTGAGACCTGCAGGAACAGTGCGCTGCCAGTGGACACTCACCAAGTGGCCAGAACACTCCTCAAGCCATCTAGAGGCTTGAGGCCTTAGGCCTAAAGGTAGAGATAGGAGGAAGATTTCTAGGTGGCCCGAGAATCACACACAGTCCTGAGCAAGACCTCAGAGCCCCGGACATGGCAGTAAATACTGGCCATTCAAAGGCAATTGCCCCCTCCTCTCACTGCCTTGATATCCCAGCTCTGGTAAGCTCTCCAGCCTGAGTTTTCCTACTCTTTTAGAAAACACAGACTTTCAAAAGATATTAGCAATTCCCCCTAGCAGCTTACTTATAGCTAGTTCATTCATTCATGTGTTGATTCATTCAGACATTCATTCATTTATCCAACATGTTTTGAGCAAATATGTGCCAAGCATATCTCACACTGGGATGCAAGAAATGAATAGACACAGCCCCTGCCTTCAAGGGGATTAATATCCAGAGGAGGTTATTTTTATTATTATTTTTTTTTAAAGATGACCGGTAAGGGGATCTTAACCCTTGACTTGGTGTTGTCAGCACCACGCTCACCCAGTGAGCTAACCATCCCTATATGGGATCCGAACCTGTGGCCTTGGTGTTATCAGCACCACACTCTCCTGAGTGAGCCACAGGCCAGCCCCCAGAGGAGGTTATTAATACACAGACCCAAATATCAGGATCAGAGAGAAAGGGTCTTTGGAGAAGCCCAGAAGTGGCTGCAGGAAATCAGAGGAGGGAGAGAGCAGGGGGCACTTCATGGAAGAGGTGATCATGAATCCGGGTGCTGCAGAAGGAGAGGGTTTGAGAATGGGGAGGAAAGAACTTTTACGTGGAGAGACTGCTGGAAGCGGAGGCAAGGGAGGGAGGAAATTCACGTGAGGAAGAGGGACCCAATCGGTGAGTCTGGAGCCGGGTGCAAAAAGGTCAAGACAGTAGATTAGGGTTTGCCTGTAGGGAGGCCCACTTGTCAGACTGAGGGGTTGGATTTTATCCTATTAACAGTAGAGAGCCATGGAATGTGTTTGAGCAGAGCAGTGACATACGCTGTGTTTTAGATCTAATGAAGCAGGGTTTGTATGGCAAAGAGCCTACATCTTGAGCCTGGCAGAAACATAGATGTTTCTTCAGACCAAGCTGAAATGTCACCATCAGCTCCTTTCTCTCCGAGAGTCTCTTTCCTTGACAGCATGTGCCATGCCAGCCTCTGTCACTCTGCTGGCCTCTTCATGCCTGTCCACAAGACTGAAGGCAGGAAATGCTCTTGCCCACCCCTCAGAGTCAGATAAAGGAAAGATCCTGACTTTTCTCTGTCCCTGTACACTCTACAACCTCAAGGTCTGAGCAGCATTAACACCCGGGGAAAAAAATTCTACACAAATGGTAACAATAGCCAGAACTTGAAATTCAAGCTCACGGATGCAGATTCCACACATAAAGGACATGACTGGAATGAGCTCATAATCAGCCAGAGAGATGGTTTAGGAAGTCACGGGCAGGGCAGGAAGGATCAGAGGCCTAGAAATGAGCAAATGCGCTACTGATCTTTAGGAAAGGATGAGTGAGTGTTTCTGGGAATTGCCATCTGGTGAGCCTGACATTGGTTCTTAGCAAATTAATGGAACAGATGTTAGGAAAACAAATGTGTGAATGCCAACTAATGAAGCCCTGATTAATAATTGGCTTTGAAAGAACAAATACTGCCAACTCTTCCTTAAAGCACTTCAGATAGAACCAGAGAGCAGAATCAGTGATAGCAATTGGATGTGTAAGTTTACAAGTGTGTAACCCTCTGGACATGGATAAGCTACTTGGACTGGCAACGCTCTCAAGGATGGACAAAGCTGGGTCTTGAAGGAACTGTCATCAATATGGCTTCAGTTATAACAGCACCTCCAGTAACAGTCTGCAAGAGGGCATGAAGGGAAAGTCAGTGCAATGTGCACCTTGCTGTAAAAAGGGGAAGGGGGATGGAAAAAGGCACCTGCCAGAGGGGTGCGTCAGAATGGAGTCAAGGTGGTGGGAAGCCAGGAGACAGGGAAAGCTGGAGCTGAGAGAGTTCTCAGGACACTCCAGTGACCATCCCTCCTTGGCTTCTTCCAGCCCATCAATCATCCGTTCCCTCAAATGGACTCCTCTCGGTGAGACATTTAAGGCAATTCAAAGAAGGAGGTGGGAAGGGTCATTCTGTATCCCTTGGGATCTGTAGATTTCAAATAGAGTTAGAAGAACACTAGGAGTCATCTAGTGTGACCCTTTCCACATGTCCAGAGGGTACTGGCTGGGGTCACATGTGAGTTAGTAATTGACACTAGCAAGTGAAACTAGAACACAATCATTACTGATTAAAAAAGAATTGCCTGGAGAGAAAAGAAAATGTAAATATAATCTTGACAAGTTAAATCTGCTGAGTAATGATGTTTTAAATAATGTTGGAATGAACCAGAGTGTAAATAAGTAAACAAAATGTAATAGCACCTTCTTACATTTTATAGAGCTTTTATTAACTCATCTGACCCTTTAACAACCCTTGAGGACAATGAGAAGATGGAAAATTTATCATTCTACAAAGGAGAAAAACTGAGCGTCAGAAAAGTTATATGACCTTCCCAAAGTCACTCAGCTAGTAGGTGGCAGAGGTGGGATATGAACCCAGGTCTTCTGACCACACCTCATTTATCAAAGCAGAGTCTGGAAGGGGGACCTGGGAGATCATTCGTAGAGAGATGGTTTCATTAACAAAATGTGGCAGGATTGCATGAAATGGGAGTACAGTCCCAACCTATGTCTCAGACAGGAGCCGGTTGCCAGTCAGTGTGGTTCTCAAGCCATGCTTCTGCAGAACACTAGTATTGGGAGCTAGAGTAGGGGTTCTACCTTTACAAATTAAATTATGACCAACTTTTTCCATTGCACAGAAAAGTATATTGATGAATGTAATTTTATCTATTTTACTTTAGCAAGCAAAAAAATATGCAAAGAATATGTAGAGTATTCCTGGAAAAACCTGGAAAGAGTTGACCATGTTTAGTTAACTGCCTTTTAAAATGTTTTCAGACACCAGGGCTGCTAGGTTGCTTGTATACATCATTTCTGCTGGTTCCAATGAAGGGACTACATAGGTCAGTGTGCCATACTTCTCAACACTGCCTACACATTAGAATCACCTGGAGAGCTTTAAAGACAGATCATTACTGTACGCACTCCCCAGCAATTCTGACTACAATGGAATGAGTGGGTCCACAGCATTTTTTTTTTTTTTTTTTTTAGATCTCCAGATGATTCTAATGTGTAGCCAGGGTTGAGAACCGCAGTTTAGTGTTCTGCAAAGGGTACCATGGCTTCCAGTTGTTCTGGAAGTTTGAGAAACTACTGCTTTAATGGCTTAAACTTTAAATGGATCAATCTTTAAAATGTCAATCCACTTAAACTTTAGACATGTTGTTTAGCCAATGCATCATCTTTAAAATTTATTAATTAGAAGCCCATAAACATTTTCAGCTCGTGTTAAAAGTTGGGAGATTTCACAGAAAGATCCAGATTTTCTGCTCTTCTGGGAAATGGTAAGATATAGATAGTCAAGCTGGACCCACATTCCAGACTGCAAAAATCAGCAGGAGCTGAGCAGTGGCTGCCACTTTTAACAGGGCACATGGGTTCCAGGTCGCCTCCCTCCCCCTGCCACACACACCTTACTTTCTCCATGATCCAGAAGCCAAGTGCCTTGTGCAGTTTATCATGATGCTTGGGCCATGGCTTTTCTTCTAGATCATTTACATTACCTGCCTGTAGTCACTTGTGTCTGCAACCCCTCTAAGGAAAGACTTTGCCCTAGTTCACTAAGTCTTAAGCTGCAGTGTGCTTAAGAATCGACAAGGAGCTTGTTGAAAATACAGATTCCCCAGGACTCCACCCCCACCCCATGCTGATTCTCTAAGGGTGGGGTGGGGCCAGGGAATCCCCATTCACTTCTCCTCTGGCCCACACTTGGAGAAGCACTGACCTACTGTGCAGAGGGCACTAGCGCTCCTAAGGAGTTCTTTCAATGCGAAATGTCTTTTAAGTTTCAGAATGAACAAAATCTACATTTAGCAGCCAGAAAAGAAAGGCTAATATGCTGAGTTTTCTTTGCTCAGGAACTCTGGGTCTCCTGGTTGTCTTAGCTCTTTGCTAAAAACAAGTCTCCCACCAGACACATATCATTACAAGCCAGAAGATAAAACAACACCTACACTGATGATATCTTGGTAAGAAGGATGACAAAAGAACTAAAAAAGCTGTATCCTTCCCCACCACATGGGACAGAGAAAGTCTCTACTCACTTTCCATAGCAAAATCCTGGAGTTTTAAAAAGAGATTACAGAGTCTTGCCCGTATTCCCCAGCAGAGGCTCTGTTGAATCATCCCAGATGTAGTTATAAAATTCTTGCAGCTGAAAATGAGTTTAGAGATCTTCTCTGACTTTACAGATGAGGAAACCGGGACTCAGAGAGGTGACTTTTGCATGGTTGTGGTTGCTTAACCTACTTGAGACTCTTCATTAAATGAAACCCTTTCATTGAATTTGGGAGAACACTTGTGGCAGTATGAATCTTCTGACCTAAAAAATAGGCGGAGCAAAGAAAGAATAAATCCCATTATCTCTACACAATCTGCCACCTGAGTTATTAAGATAATACTTCCTGTCCCCTCCTGCTTGGTCCAACATGTGATTCATTTATGTTGTAAATCAAAGTTCCATCAGTGCCTACGGGTTAGAGGTAGGACACAGAATGTGTGTTTTACACATACATTAGTGCTTAACAGCTGTCCTTTTTGGGCAAATTACTTAACTGATCCAACTTCCAGTTTCCTCATCTGTAAAAGGGGGAGTTAAGGGTATCTATATGACAGGGCAGAGCCAGAGGACCAGCCCTGCTCTCTGGTGTCACCTTGGTGCCCTTTTTCCTGCACCACTGGAAGTTATTCCTTGCACTTTCTTCTCCACTGGGTAAGGGAGGTGGCTGGGAGTGATGAAATGTGGAAGATAACATGATTTCATTACTTCCCCAGCAGACGCTCTGGCATGGATACACTGCCAGTGCCCCACCACAGACCCAGTGCCACCCCTGCCCTCTGATGGCTCTCTGCTCCTGCTAGCATGTGTTGGGCATTTGCATCTGCCCTCTGTCTTCTTTATAATTAGTGTGTCCTGTGTCTCTGCCTCTCTGCAGGCTCAGCACCTGGCCAGCTGCAGGGTAAGCCCAGATCCATGTCTGCTCAGCCTCCATGTCACCTCCAACAGCTGCAGAGTCTAGGCCTCCTTCCTGTTTGCACCTGTGAGCCTCTGTAGCACAGCCTGTGTTCCAGTGGGCACTGGCCCTTCCTCAGCATCCCGAACAGCAACCTGCTCACTGTGCCAGACACTGCTCTGTGGCTCCACGGCCACCCCACCTGCTGCAGCATGGAAGCTTCCCAAAATCTGTGAAGCCCTGCCCTGGCTTTTCCCAAGGCTGTCCACTATTCATGTCCTGAGTCTCTGGACAAAATAGATGTCCACTCGCACCTGCCTGGCCTTGCATCCATCTGGCTCATTCATTCTCAGCTCAGGATTCCAGGCTGGGTGGGCCATCGTTACTCAGAATCCCTCCTCCCTTGGACTCCTCCTCCTGACCCGGACCTTCAAGGTCCAAGTCCTGCCCTCTTGTCCTGGACTCTCCTCAGACCTCTCCTGCCGGCCTCCAATTTCCACCCTCCTCCAACGTTTGTGGCCACTATCCCCTGCCTTGAGGGGTGCCCAGGGAGTTGGAGACTCAGCCATCCAGCTGCTGGATGCCTCTGGGAACTGTTGGATCCTGGCAGCCCCAGAGCCAGCCCCACCCTGGGCAGGGAAGACCCCAGGCAGGGAGGACCCCAGGCAGGGAGCACTAGTTCTGCCTCCGCCTCCAGCCTCCGCCCCACACGGTAGCCACATCCTAAGGAAAGGCGCTCCAGGCAGCCACAGGAAACTGGAGTGGGAACCCCAGGCCAGTAACTGCAGGCTCCGCCGCCTGGCGTGGCCAGCTCCGAATGGGGCCTTTTGCACCTTCAGCCAGAGCTGGTCCACTCAGTGGCACCCACTCCTGTTCCTTCCTTCTCTCTAGCAGGTTCCTTCCAACTCCTGCTCTTCACCCCGCTGAGCACCCTCACCCTGCCGGCTCCATCCCACCCTCCCACCTCCCAGGTGGGCCTGAGCTAAGGTAGTGAAGGCGGCGAGGACACCTGCTGGTAGGAAAAGCAAACGGAGCCTGCTCCCAGAGTCTGGCCCCCAGTGGCTCACATTCCTTTTTCCTGGGCTGTCAGTTTCTCAACATCTGCCAAATTTCTCTCTCTTGTATTGAGGTTTTTTAAATCCCCATTCAGTAAACACACATGACTTCCACACGTGTACAAACACACACAGACGTCTCACCCAGAAGCCGCCCAGCTCCTCCGCACAGACGGGAGCGTCCCGGGAAGACACACTCCCAGACACATCCCGCAGCTCCCACGGCCCCCTCCTGCCCACTCCCCTGTGACACGCAGACACAGAGGGCCGCCAGCCTCCTCCACATCCAGGCCACAACCCTGCTCTCCTGCGGCCACCGGCCTGGAAGTCGCCCATTTTGAGCACGAGTCTATCTACTGTACAACACAAGACTACACAGCACCCTGAAGTACATGTACATGTGAACGTGCGTGCATCCCCCCCCCCACACACAGCTCACATGGGTCACGTGTGTGGAGCAGACTGAAGGGCCCAGGCTGCAAGAAGCTCTTGCCTGGGCTTCAAGAAACGTGACAGACATTAAATTGGGGCAGGTACACTTCTTCCCAAGAACTGGAAACACTGACCCGGAGACGTGTATGGGGAGTTATGAAAAGCAGGGAGAAAACTGAGGTCTCCAGGCTGTAAGGGCCTCGCGAGCCCGGCCTGCCACTTTATGGCCCCCAGATGCTTAGAGTTACCAATATGATCACATGTGCGAGAACACATATGTTTCCCTATACTGCACGACATAAATCCAAACTAAAATCAGTCAAGGATGTGATGGGGGCTCAGCGAGCCCCTGGGCTCCGGGGTTCCTGGCCTCCCAGAAGCGCCTGGCTCTTCCCAGAATGGCTCTGTCTCCTTCTCCCCACCCACCTACCCATCCCCAACAGTGCATCGTACCTCCTGAGCGGTGGTGCTGGTGACCCCCTGGCACCTTGCTGTGTGGCCAGCACTAGGCCCCCCTCGCTGGAGCTCCCTACTCCAGTTCAGACCCTCTGAGCAGACGCCCCAGCGAGAATTTGGACTTACTGTGCTCCGCCAGCCCCTGGATCATGTCGAATTTATGGATCTCTTTGGCGTAGTATTCCGACTCGGTGTTTTCCTGAGTGCAGCCTTCCTCCCTCTCCCCCTGCATCTCCTCCAGCAGCTCCCGAGTGCTGTTGTAAAGGGCCAGGACCTGATAGGGGACGTGGGTCATCACCGATGGCTCAGGGGGGCTGGTGAGCCTGAGCTTGCTCAAGATCTGTCCCCTAATGGCTTCCACCCTCTTCTTCTTGATGTGGCCAAAGTCCAAGGTGGTGCAAGTGGACAGAGAGAGGCTGACTGTGGCAAAGTTCAGCAAGGCCAGGACCACCAGAGCCCTTTGCAAGTGCATCTTCATGTGCGAGCCCGGGAGAGAAGCCAGGGGGGCGGCGAGGCCTGGAGAGGAGGAGACCCCAGCAGACGTGCAGAAGGAGGGAGGAAAACCAGGCGGCCTCCACAGATCCCAAAGACTGAGGCTTGGCAAGAAGGTGCATGAACTCACTGCACTGCGAGAGCTTCAGGACTTCCAGGAAGCGCTGGCAACCCTGAGGACGAAGCAGCGGACTGTGTGCCTTGTAGCGCTGGGGTTCTTGTCCATGTGTCTAAACAGGTTTTGCTGGGCTCTGACTCCCAGCAGGCCAGGTGGAGGGCAAGCAGAGGGCTGGGAGGGGTGGCAAGGCAGCTGGGAGTGGGAAGGGAGCTGGAGTTTTTCCTTAGGTAAAAATAAATAGAGCGGATATCTGATATTGCCAAACGCCTCTTGGCGATGGGGAGAAAGTAGATATTTTAAAAAAGAAGGAGAAGGACCATGACTGGGTCCCCAAATCAAAATCCTTGCCTTGCCCTGAAGGAGAATAAGAAAAGAGAATGGAGAAGAAAAGAACAAAAAAACTTGTTAAACAACAAAAAAAAAGTCAGATCACCAGTGAGTAGGTGGGGAGAGGCAGGGCTGGGCAGCTGCTGGCCCAGCTAAAGGTGGGGGCAGTACAGGACACACTTGTCTCTCAGGCACTCCATTCATGCTTTCTCTTTTGTTTACACTTCCTCGGGGGCTCTCTAAATGACTTTGTTCACGCTGCCTCTCGTCTTCCTTGGCTGGGATGCTGGGTTATGTGCAACTAGAAGGCAGGGAGGACAGGCCTCCGGAGAGCAGCCCCGATAATCCACTTGGACGCCCAGGGTCACCAGCACTTCAGCTTGTCTTCTCCCTCAGCCGTGATTTCTGTCCCCTGCTGCTCTTTAAAAAAAGAAAAAAAGGAGAAGAAAAAGAAAATAGAAGCCGGTTCGCTGCACGCCTCCTCCGGAAAGCTGTGACTCTGGGCGCGCAGGCTTCTTCCCTGTGTCCGCCTGCCTCGCTCCCTGCCTTGGCCGTGGCGCCCGCCGGCCTCCCTCTCTCTGCCTCTCCCTCCGTGTCATACACACACATGCACACACACTGCTCTCTCTATTTCTCTCTGCTGAAATTTTATCCCTCCCTCCCATGACGTCTCGGGCCCGGGGTGGGGGAGGGAGGGCCCAGCGCACGCAGCCTCTCTCGCTGCACGATTTTAATGTTTTCAACAGGCACAGGGAAAGCCGAGCCCGTCTGAAAAATACTTTCGCGAGTCCTCGCGTTCGACGTGGTCACTGAACTTTTTTTCCCCTCTTGGAGTCACTCCTGCTACACGTTGGCTGTGCTTCTGGAAAGTGACTCCGAGGAGCCCCCTCCGTCCTCCTCCCCCGGCCCCTTGGCCCTCTGGCCAGCTGTCAGTCCGAGCTCTCCGCGGCCCGGCTCCCCGCCCCTCCCTGGCCCCCCAGTCCCAGGGCCGCCGCTGTGTCAGGCCGGACGCAGCGCAGAGTCCGCAGCGGGGAGCGCGGCTCGGGCAGGGGCGGCCGTGCCACCCTCGCTCGGGGTGACGCCCGACGCGCCCGGGGGTTGGAGGGTCGGACTCAGCTCCGCGGCGATCCTGGCCCCGGTTCTTCATTGACAAGACTGGAGTCGGGCGGCCGGCTGAAGCTTGGAGACGCTCCAGGGCCAGTGAAAAATGGTGGCGTTTTCCGGAAGATCGAGGGTGCCCTCTGGCGAGGCGAGGCCGCCAGTGAAGGAGGCTCGGCGGCTCGGGAGCCGGGACGGCGGGGGCGCTGGGGCCTGGGGGGGCGGGAGAAGCGGCGAGAAAAACAGGACCCCGGTGCCTTGGGGAATCGTCTCCCTCTCGGCCCCACGTGCGTCCAAGTGCACCGCTCCCTCCCCGAGCCGCGGCTCCGGGGCCGCTCTCCGCAGAAATGTCATCCAGATGTGCGCGGCTCCCTTCCCACCGAGGGTTCCGCAGGGAGCTGCGCCAGCGAGCGCAAAGTCAGCAGCTGGCCCGAGCCCATTTCCCAGATGGGTGAGGGGAAGTTGGCTCTCCGCTTTCGTTCCTCCTCTCAGCCTGAGCTTCTAGGTCTTTTCCCACGAGCAGCTTAGGTAGGACGAGGCACATTGCTCCTCCCACCTCCCAGGCAGAACTTGTGCCTGAACTAATCGCTTTCCTGCGAATTAGTGTTGCTCCCACCCCCAACCCCTCACTCCTGCCTTCCTAGACCCTTCAGAAGAGGTCTGGCTCCTAGGTCACCAACTGAAGGGATGCTCACTGAATCCCCAGGACAGTGGTGGATCATTTTACAGTTGGGGAAACTGAGGCACAGAGAGACCCTTTTGAAAAGGCCACACTGCTTTTGAGTGGTGGAGGTGTTATTTAATCCAGGCTTCTAGTTTGGGTAGGCATTATTTTCATTTGCATAATCAAGTAAGAAACCTGGATGTATAAACCGTAAAAGTAACTTGCCTAAGGTCACATAGCTATTAGGTATCAAGGCTAGAATATCTTTTTTCTTTTCTTTTCTTTTTTTTTTTTTTTGAGGCTGGAAGGATAAGGAGATCTGAATCCTTGATCTTGGCGTTGCCAGCACCACACTCTCCCAAATAAGCTAACCCACCAGTCCAAGGCTGGAATTTGGACCCAGGAAGTCCATTACCAGAGTCTGTGCACTGAATTACTATACTACACTGCCTCTGGGATTTGAGAAATAGTTTGGTGATTACTATTAGTCAGGCACTGTTTTAAATTCTGTGGCTATATCAGTGAACGAAACAAACAAAACCCTTGCTCTCATGGAGCTTGTATTTCAGAGGCAGGGGTGGGGTAGTGGGGGAGGCAATAAACTTAATAAATATATAAATCATGTAATACAGTAAAAGATAAGTGCCATAGTAGAAAATAAAGCAAGGAGGGAGGATAGAGACTACCCAGGTTGGGGGATGTTACACTTTAAAATAGGGTGATCACAGGGCCGGCCCGTGGCTCACTCGGGAGAGTGTGGTGCTGATAACACCAAGGCCATGGGTTTGGATCCCATATAGGGATGGCCGGTTACTGACAACACCAAGTCAAGGGTTAAGATCCCCTTACTGGTCATCTTTAAAAAAAAAAAAGGGTGATCACAGAAGGCCTTACTGAGGCCTTTGAGCAATTACTTGCAAGATAAGCAGGAAAATTATTAAAGTTACACCCTTGTGGACTCCGCCTCTACCAAATCAGTCTCCACAGGTCTGTATTTTTAAAGAAACTTCACCTATGATTCAGGTGCTTGGCAGGTTTGGAAGTCGCTTGGGGCTTCTCTCTGCCAGGGGTGAGTGCCACTCACTTTTGTTTTCAGGAAGTTGTGGAGGATGTGGGAGTAAAGTTCTGGAAACTGACTATAAAGTGGTGGTGGAATGGCTGTGAGCTTACGAGAAATGGAAAAATCCAAAGATTAATCCCTTCTTTTTCATCTAATGCCAAGGAAGAAGAGAACAAGGGATTCATTGGAGCCTATATTTCATCTGTCTTGGATTTTTGGCAATGACTTTATCCAGATTAAAATCTAACAGAATATTCTCACTGAGAAGCTGAGCTAGTGAGTAAAGGATCTTAGAAGTAAACTTTAAGGGTAATTACAAAAGAAGAAACTGAGGTACAGAGAGGGCTCTGCCCTGGCTACACGCATAGTAATTAGCAGAGCATGGATGAGAACCAAACTCTTCTGACATCCAGGCTGGTGCAGCTGCTGTCACATGGCATACTAATGCACCGTCTCACCCAGTAAACATGTGTGGAATGAATGGGTGAACCAAGTAATTTACTGGGTATTTAATAAATGCTTGCAATACAGTTTTAGGGGTGCTGCTCCCACATCCAAGTCCCTGCTTTTAACCCTTGGCCATTCAGTCCTTACCCCCAGCATGATCCTGGGGACATTGTCTACTTTCAGGGTCATGAGCCTACCGTCTGTGGGTCCCAGCCCACCAGTGCCTGGGACCTGGCCAGTGGTGTTGATTTGTGGATCTTATAAGGAGAGTCAATGAAGATTCCACTCACCTGTCCCATTAGGCTGGGAATTTGTGGAACATCCCCCTCTGCCAGCCCAGGAGAATGACTGACACCCAGTAGTACATGCTGAAGAAAAATACTCAAGTAAGATAAGGGTACTTCAAAAAGTTTATGGATAAATGCAATGAAAGGATAATGCAAATCTTTCCATGAACTTTTTAAAGTACCCTTGCATCTGTGTCAAAAGGGCACCTGGCTCTGATGCTTAGCACTCAGGTGATATTCCTCAAGACACCTCTTTGCACCTCAGTGTCCTCTGTTGTTGAGTAGAGATATTACTGTTATTTGCTTTGTGGGGTTTTTGGCATTTAATGAGATATCAATTATCTTTTGATATTCGAATTTTGAATAACTTTCAAAAGTTACTACTACTCAGGTATTTTTTTCAAAGAACATCAAAGATCTTTATGATAGTATTACTTACAATAGCAGTACCTCAAAGTACAATCACCTGTGTTTCAATAAAAAAAAAAAATTAAAAACAAACAAAACAAAAAGCACAATAGCAAAAATGGAAATGTCATAGAATAGGAATGTCAAACAAGGACATTTTCATTGTCAATGTTAAAACCAAAGGAACTTAAACAAATAATGGTAATATTCTATAAACTGTATTATTATGTAGCTATTAAAAGAATGATGTATAAGACTATGCACTGTAACAGAATGATGTTCATCTGGGGGTTGGGGAGGCAGGCGCATAACAAAACAATAGAGACAAAATGATCTCATTTTTGTTTATAGAATTGCAGAAAACGTCTAGGAGAATAACCAAGGTAACTATTCAGGTATTTGATGTGTTGGTTCAGCCTCTCTGTAAACTTCTTGAAGGCAGAGAGTCTGTATATTGCATTTTCTGTAATTTATTGCAAACCGTTTCTTACACCTGACCCCCTTGTGAGCCTGTTTTCTCATCTGTCAAATGAAAACAATACAACTTATCTTGCTTCCCACACAAGGTTATGTCCTTCACGTGAGCTAATAACTGTGAAGGCCCTCTGTACATTGCAAAGAGCTGTACAAATGGAAGGCATCCGTATAATCCCTGCTATTAGCAGTAGTGCTTTGAGCTTAATTACTGATGTATTTAAACAGAACGACAAATGCGGATAGTTCCTAAGGACTAAATTTTTTACCGTCCCACAGAAACAGCTTTAGCGGGTTTGAATATCTGGAGGTTTCTTGCGGAAGTAAAGCAGAGTAGGTTTAGGAAAGATTTGGTTCAAGTTGGCTGGCGGCAAACAGAATTCAGGAACAATGCGGCGGACCCTTTAAATAATGCGATGGAAGGGAGGGGCCGTCGTCAGGGACGCGGCTGGACAACTTGGTTTCCAGGAAGTGACGTCAGGCGGCCGCGGTGATGGAGGACGCGCTGGACCTGAATGAGGAGTGGCGCCGCGGTTCAACCGCCTCCGTGAGGACCGGCGTGGGGCGGGAGGGCTTGAAGCCAGGATTTAGCGGGAGGGAAGGAGCGACCCCGCCGGCCCCGGCTTCCCTGAGGCGCCTCAGGGCGGCGGGTCCGGAGTCGCACCAGGGTGAGGCCGGGGAGGAGGCGGCCTCATCCGCCCTGCCCCCGGGGCTGCGGTGGGCCCCGCCGCTGCCGCCGCCGTGGGGTTTGCTTTTCTTAAAGTCCTCCAAAGGTAGAACACAGATCCTGTCCCCGCCAGCTTCTGGAACCGGTGGGAAATTTCCGAGCCTCTCTCCGCTTTCTGGAGCCCCAAGTGCGAAGTCCCCCCAGAACAGGCAGATCTCAGGGTGACTGGAGGGGCTCCGGCCAAAGGCGCACTTGCACCCATCCTAGAGTTTTTTCCTGGGAACTTATTATTCCCGAAGTTCATGGAAAAGCCTCACTGTGCGGGGAGGGAAGCAAGCAGGGATGTCCTTTCTAACCCGCAATCCCCTCGGGGAGATGAGCGTTACCTCAGTTTCAGAGTTAAGGAAATCACGGGGGAGTGACTAGGTGCTGGGCCCTGAGGTCAGATGGAGCATAAAGCTGTTGGGTAGGTTTTTAAAAAGTTGGTTAACGCCTCGGAACCTAGGTTTTATGTTTGGAATGGAGATGATGCAGTGCAGATGAAATGCGATAACGCATGGAAAACATTAAACACAGGGACTGGTATATACTAAGATATGGGAAGAGATTAGCTGCCCTTGCCTCTGAGGCTGTGATGTCACGTCAGTAGATATCAGAGACCCAAGTTCAATGTTTTTCTTATTCCTTCACAACCCCCGTCAGACCTTTTATCTTTAAAATTAGTCAAGATCACAGTCACTAAAAGATTGGGCCACATTCGTTTCTGCTGTGAAATCTCTGCTGTGTTGAAGTGCCCTGATAGCACTGGATGTCCTCCAAGGTACCAGAGAGGAGCATCTCTCAAGGGAGATATCAGGGACAAGAGCAAATTGGTCTAGAATGCAGCGGGCTGCTTGACTGAACAGGGATATCATTAAGTTCTCAGGCCTTTTTGATATGTGAACTTTTTTAGTATTTGGGCATGTGAATGTAGTTATTTATTCATTCATTCTTTCAACAAATATTTATTGAGCCCCTACTGTGTATCAGGCACTGTCCTGGGTACTGGAGATATAGCTGTGAATAAAACAAAGTCCCTGCCCTCTTGGGCTTATGTTCTATTGGGGGAAGATGGGCAATAAACAGACTACATTTAAAATACACAGTCAGGTAGTAAAGCAGTTTTTCTATCCTGTGGATTTATACAGGATCTTCAAAAAGTTTAAAACCTTAAAATATTTAGTAGTTATTAGAGGACTCATCTGTAACAGCATTTAGAAACAAGATCATTGAATTTTTGTTTTCGTATAACCACTGTATGTGGTGTGCCATATTCAGATACCCAATGCTATGACAAATGGAAAAGGTCCACCATGGGTGAAGGGTTGTAATTGTCTACCTTGAGAAGAAAATGAGCTGCTTATTGGAAAGATTAATGGAAAGATTGTTTCCATTATCCCTGAAACCAAAATGATTAACATTACAATTTGAAGTACAAACACTACATAAGAGGTTTTATGCAGCTCCTTTGTAACCTACCTGTCAATGTATTGGTACAGTCAGTCCTTAGAACATCTTTTTTCTTCTTCTTCTTCTTCTTCTTTTTATTCTTAGTCCTTAGAACATCTTACAATGAAATTTAAGCATGGCATAGTGGAAAGAATCCAGGGTTTGGAGTCAGAAGAAGACTTTGCTCTTAGATTTATGTCTGTCATTTAATCACCCTCCTGAGCCTCAGTGTCCTCATTTGTAAAGTGATGTCAGTCCCAGCCCCTGTTATTGTGAGAAGCAAACGAAGCTACATTAAATGTGATCTAAAATTGCATATATTAATGCTGTTTTTTTTTTAAGTAAACAAGCAAAAATATAAATATTTTAACACCCACTAGTGTGCCTAAATAAAGTGTTATTTATGTGCTGGCAAGTGTTTGAGACACAGAGCTTCCACCCCAGGGGAGCCTTGGGAAACACCTAAAATGGTTCATTTGATGACTCAGAATTCTGAACTGCTCTGATTTCCAAAGGTGATGTCTCAAAATTCTTGTAATAGATCTCCCTTAATGTCTGTAAATGCAAATCCAGTTAGTGTATATATCAAAGCAAATGCTATTTGTATTTCTCTGGTGTCAGTTGCCATGAAATGTAGGAATTCTTTCCAAAAGCCTGTTTGATAATTATTTTCATGCTTTGAAATTAGGCCTTCCTAAAATCCTGCATAAGAACATGGGAGCTTTTACCACCCTCTTCTCTGAGCTGTAGCATGAGGTCTCTGCCCATTCTACAGGACTTTCTAACTACATTTCTTTGGGTTGAAAAGTGATTTTGCTTTTGCAGTCTTTATGCCTATTGAAAGAAAACCTTGTGATTATTAACCCATGAATTTCCTACTCTTATACCAATAGGACTGACATCAGGTACTTTGTTTAAGGGTTTGGAGAGTTTTCTAAGAATATATCCAAGTTGCTCAAGTCCTATTCTCCACCACGTCATCATAAATCCAGTCCATGCTTACCTTCCCAGAATTGTCATCCTCAGGGTGACTCAAATGACATCTGGGTCAGCAGTGCCCTCCATCTCTTCTTATAGGGGGCCAAGATGGGTTGTCGAGCTCAACAGGAGCCAACTCAGGCCGAGAATCACCTCAGTGGCAAGAATTTCTCTGAGACTCTGACTAGAGAGGTAGGTGCTAAAAAACTCAAAATCTGAAGAAGTGCTTCCTAAGAGTTAGTGATTCCGTAATGAGCAAGGATTTGCTATTCCATATTTCTTCTCAAAAATGCCAGCCCTGGGCCGGCCCGGTGGCGCACTGGAGAGTGCGCCGCCTGGGAGTGCCGCGGCGCTCCCGCCGAGGGTTCGGATCCCATGTGGTGACCGGTTCCCACTCACTGGTTGAGCGCGGGGCGGGCGCAACACCGAGGGTTGCGATCCTGTTGCCGGTCCCCGGTGCGGGCGCGACACCGAGGGTTGCGATCCCGTTACCGGTCAGTAAAAATAGTGATTCCGTAATGAGCAAGGATTTGCTATTCCATATTTCTTCTCAAAAATGCCAGCCCTGGGCCGGCCCGGTGGCGCACTGGAGAGTGCGCCGCCTGGGAGTGCCGCGGCGCTCCCGCCGAGGGTTCGGATCCCATGTGGTGACCGGTTCCCACTCACTGGTTGAGCGCGGGGCGGGCGCAACACCGAGGGTTGCGATCCTGTTGCCGGTCCCCGGTGCGGGCGCGACACCGAGGGTTGCAATCCTGTTACCGGTCAGTAAAAAAGACAAAAAGGAAAAAAAAAATGCCAGCCCCTCTTCCTGTGTTGATTTGGGAATTCCCTTCCTTGGCATTTGTCCTATTATCAGGAAATGAAGAAAGAATGTTTTTTTCTTTGATGCCAAATTAGCGTCTGTGCATTTCTTAATATTCTTAAGGTAGAACTTACTATGTTAGCTGAAGCAAGGGACTAGGAACTTTCAAAATCCAGGTTTTTATTTCTGCCAAACAAATGCCAGTGAGGCATGGCTGGTGATGTAAGGTTGGATTACACAACCGAACGATTGCTCTCACTGGTGACCTGCACTTTCTACAGCTTTCAGGCAGGAAAGAGATTATTTACTGGCCTTCCTTTCCTGGAGACTTCTCTGAGTGGCCTGGAATTCCGGGAAATTATCCAGCTTCTTTGTGGACGGTGGGTAATCCTGATGAGCAATGCTTTTTAATGCCAGGACCCTATTTTTTGGCAATTTTCTCAGAGCTGCTTTTTTTACCTTCCTCTGTCCATTTGAAAAAGTTTTGCCTTTCAAGAGTCAGCCTCAGGGTCATTCCCCTCTGTTAGCTCTTTTCTAACTTCAGGCTGATTCAGGGCTCCTTCCTTTCAGTTCCCATAGTAAATACTCTAGAATGTATAATATTATATGCTCATTGCCTTTTTAATCTGCCCCACTAAACAGTGAGTTCCCAGACAGTGGGAAACCCGGCTTCTCAGTTGTCTAACTTGCTGGCCTGTGGTAGGTTTACAACAGATGAGGGGACCCATACTGAGAAGCCTAATGGGCCAGGCACGTGCATGAGCAAAATGTGCTGGGTACGTGACACGGACACACTTTACTTACATATCAAATATTTAGGAATATACTTTCATAGGAAATAAGTCCTCCACCATCTATCTTCTTAAGCTCTCCACATGGCCCTGTCAATTTATCTTTTTTTCTCACTTATTTTAGAAATGTGGGTACAGAGAGTTGTTAAGACAACTATGCCAGCACAGGAAAACTGGCAGCTGACTCTTGGCCTTCTTGCCTGGAAGACACTAGGGAGTGAGTTGGGGCAGGGGGACTAGGAACTGGAGACCACGTGCCTCCTCTGCAGGGGCTACCACTACTTAGCCGAAGCTGGTTGATGCTGTAGGGAATACAGGCCCAGTATTGTCAGATCTTCTGATTTTTTCAAGGAATACTGGCAGTCTAAAATTTTATGTGAAAGCAACAGATGTTTAGAAGTTAACAACTAATTATAAAAATTAAATCACTGTATGGGCTAGATTGGGCCTGCAGGTTGTCAGTTTGTGACTTTGATCATGGTGCTTCCATTATAGTACTTATCACAATTGTATGGCTCCTTCATATGATGTGAGTTTCTGCAAGGCAGGGGTTGTGTCTCTTACCATTCATTGTACCCACTGTCTGTCACAGTGCCTGGCATAGAAGCAGCGTGCAGTTGCCACTGCAAAGGGCGAGGTGGGTGAAGTGTATAGTGTATAGATGTACTTGTATAGATGTACTTACACATGGAAGCTGAGTAAGAGCCTTATGCTGTGGGAGGTGGGCAGATGTGAAGCATTGGAGGGACAGTTATGGGAGCTGGTGGTATAAAGTGGGAAGACATTGAAAAAAGATGTACCAGACCCACCCTGGATCTCAG